GGAGGAAAATGGCCAGCCATTAAGGAGGAGCAGGGAATTCACAGTGTGATGGTTTACACCAGGTGGGAGGCTGTTAGACAGCCAAGTGGCGTGAGCAAACCCCCATGGCCATAAATACAGGGAACAGTAAACATCCTCCACTGCCCCCCCACTGCCACTAAGAGCTCTCATCCAATCATATAATGACTTAATAGTTTAGAGAATTGTGTACTATTATAGTTCGCCAACATACTGCATGCATCCTCGCGATACTGGCGGCTACAGTCATTGAGATGATTGGCATATTAGCACATGTTACTAATAGCATTGATAATGGCTCTGCTTTACTGTCCCAGTACATGTCAGTGTGAGGACCCTCAAACTGAAGCAGCTTAATGGAATTCAGCCAGCATTTATTTTATTGTTCACACCACATCATCCTTCTGTGACGTGATAAAATGTCTTCAGTGAAATGACACAACTTCCTCTATACTCAAGGTTTTTTTTTTACATTGCATAACTGAAACAATCAGTCAAATATCTACTTTTGCATAAAACAAGAAAATTGGAGATGTCATTTTAGGCTTTTGGGACATCACTGTATTCTGCAATGATGAATAAAAAATACCATTGAATAATACTTACTGGGACTTCCACCAATGCCCATAGTCCTCATTTAAATTCACTACAACTGGATTTTTATTTGGATCCGCCACAAATTGCACACACTCAAAATATCAGTCCACTCAAAATGCCTACATTTTTTAAATTAATTATTATGAGAAATCAACAAAATGTTGAAAAAGACCCCATCTCTCAATGTTAATGATATGCCCCCTGATCCAAATCTACATCCTTAAAAAAAATTGAGTTTTAATGAAAGAGCAAAAAACCTCAGAAAATAAAATATCAAAGCTTGGTCTTAGTTGTATACACAAGTTGCAGAACTGGATTTGTGAGACTTCCAGCCATAAACACTCAGAGACATGTTGAGCACATGTTGTCATGAACAACACACAAATAATAAAGAATCCGACACAAGCGACAGTGTAACTTGTTCAGTTAATCACATTGGATTTAAGATTAAAGATTTGGCATCAGTGAGAGAATGTGATTCTCCACTCTAACATGTGATTGTCTCAATTAAAAGCCTTAATGTTTTGAATACAGCAGTGCAATACAATCTGCTTTGTTTTCTGGCTACTGTGCCAGATGAACTGGGAGTGACTATTAAATTGATTATTTTGAACTGGCAAAGCTTACAAACAAGCTTGCAGGATGCCAATGTGGCGAGTTACAGCAAAAACAGCTGTGAGAGTATGAAGAATGTCTTTGGCTGCACTGAGGTGCAAACAACTGGATGTATATATGTCTCTGTCCTGTATATAATCATATCAGTGGCAGACATGAGTGCACATACAAACAATGAAAGACTCCTTAGACTATCCCAAACAAAAAACGACTGAGACACAGCAGAGCATGTTCTAACAAATGAGAAACAGGTGCGGAAAATTGGAGAGCGCACCAATTACACTACATACACACACACACACACACACACACACACAGTAGATTTAAAAAACGCTCGTTCACCACTGTGAGACAAATCCACCAGTAGCCAGCGTGAGATACAACAGTTGCTCGAGGAACGATTGAAATACAACTAGCCCACGGTTCTCATTTTGCAAAGTGAGCCACTTCACAAAAGTCTTTGATAACAGCATCAAAGCTTTAATGCAATCTGATAATTAAGTTTTAAGATGTCTAAAGATCTGAGTGACAGAAACTCTGCAGGACTTTTTGAAACAAAGAACAATGTTCACGTTGGAAAATGCTTTCATAGGACTGTTAGCTAAAGTGGCTGATTGCCCATTGTTGAAGGAAGGTCTTCAAATCCCTCAATTAAAAAAAAGCCAAACGTGAAATTCTCATTCTCAACATATAAGACAAGTGTCACTGAGACGAAACACCTGCAGTTTCCTCCATTGCATCATGGGTGACTGACATATGGCTGCGGGTTTCTGGCCTCCTGCAGAAGGCACTCAGTGATTTCACACTCATTACCTCCTCTCCACAATGCACAGCACAATCACATGACAACAAAATCCTCTCACACCAACTCCTATGGGAACTTTTAGAAGCCGTTAGTGGCCGGGCCATTATGGAAATTCTCAGAAGAATTCACAAGAGCTATTTCAGCAGCGTCCAAATTACTGTGTTAAATGGAGTATTAGGCTCTGAGAATATGATTAACCAATTGTAATTGCTTTGCTTCTGTGACTTCAAAACAGGCAGTCAATGCATTTTTTTCCCCTGTTGCTGTGCTTCTAGCTCGTCCTCGTTACCAAGTAATCATGTCAACTACAAGACAAAAAAACAGAGGGACGTGGCAGTGATGCACGAAAGAGGAGCAAACACAAACATGAATGTCCAGAGATAACCACATGCCAAACGAGCGGGTGGCGAGAGATGTGAGACACGGCCAGCAACCCGTGCTTTCAAAAACCATCTTCTCTTCCTGCTCCGGTGCACTTGCTCCCCGGCTTTGCCTCTCCGCAACATCCAGCGTGTCATAATACAGCAGAAACACACAAATGAGTCCCTACACAAGCATGTTGTACAGCAAGATCAGCCATGTACATCAGTGCTCTCTACAAGCACAAATCATGTTCGTAATCACAGTACACCGACTCCACCAGCCACCAGGGAATATGTGTTGAGGCAAATGAGACTCCTGATTTCCAATACAAACACATGCACACATGCAACAGCACTGATAGCCACCATCAAGCACAAACCGAATGCGTAACATCATAAATATTAACAGCGTTGGTTGTTTTTTGCTTGGAGTTTTCCTCCAAAGTGATAAATCAAAAGGCCTGATAGGAGCTGCCATGTGCATTGTTGACGCTGCCTGTGATGCATTTGCCTTGGGAGGCCAGGCTTTCATATCTGAACACATGCAGCCCACAAAGACGTGAGAGGAAGTTCAACCCCCAGCAGAGTTGAAGGCGGCAGATGAGGGGAGGGATGTGGAGAGGCGAACAGGGAGGGTTTTGTAAGTAGGAGTGGGAAATCCCAGAAAAGTACATAAACAGTAACTGATATTTTGGGGGAGGTTAAGACCCTTTCCATAATCTCTGATTTAAAGCAAAAGGCATGAGATAATCAGATGTTCCAATAAATGTTCTGTTTAAGACGAAAACATCTTGAAGGGTGCGGGCCGCGGCGTGCACGTCATTGACAAAAGGCTTTTTCTCTGCGGGCAGGCTCCTCTCTTTAAGTTCCCCCTGGTCTGTTGTGACAATGCCCAAGAGGAGGGGGGGGTGAGCAGATGTCCGTTGCCAGCAGCACATCTGCATACAGCCTCAATCCCCACCCCTTCAGTGGCCAGACAATGGAGCCACCCTCCTCCTCCTCCACTTGAAGCTTTCTTCCACAGGAGCCTCCAAATGCAGTAAAAAACTGAAGAGGGAGAGTTAGCTTTTTGAGACGCAGTGACATTCTGTGAAATGGAAGAATTCTCCTGCTGTTGGAAAATGTGCAGGTTGCTCATGTGGACGCCTGATTGGGTCACTAATTAAACACTCATTAATAAGTGGGGTAATTGTGGCATGTTCAAACTGGAATGTTTGGTTATACACATGCTACCCAGAAATGCTGCGCTTGAGCTTAACTTTTGCTTCAAATGTTAATCTTCTTTAAAAAGGTATCAGACATATAAATACACCTTTTATTAAAAGTAATTACAAAATAAATCCCTCATTATTGGATTTTTAATTTGTCGACCATTACCCTATAAGTGCCCGGCTCATTAGGGAAGCTTAAAATCTTCAATCGTTAATCAAATATTCTTTAAGGTATCAATCATATAAAAACACATTTGATTAAAAGGCCATTGCTAATGAGCACTTATCATTGACCCTGATTGTTTTTTGAATATGTTCACCATTTACCTTAGACATGCCCAGCTCATTAAAAAAAACTTTTGCTTAAACTCCTCGTGTGTATGTCAGATATTCTTTATCAATCATACAAATATTGATTTAAAAAAACACTTGTGTTTGATCTTAATGTGTTCACCATTATCTTACAAGTGCCCAACTCATTAGGAACTTTTGTTTAAACTCTTCAAGTGTATATCAAATATCCTTTTAGGTAGTGATCATATAAATATAGATTATAA